CCCCGGCTTTACGCTGTACTTTGCCTGATGTGAGCTGATTGGTGCAGTATATCTTGATGTTAGGATCCCATTTCAGAAATGTTCTGACATTATCTATTTGGCAGTTTGAAAAATAGTATCAAACTCCCAATGCATTTGAGCGCACGTTTCAACCCAGCAAGCGTAATATCCATTTCCTCCGGTGCAAGAGGCACATTAGGACCAACTCCAAGTGGATTCAATTCTAGGAATGCAATATGTGACTCCACACAACCCCACACATGCACACACACAGCCTTGCTGAGAGGGACCAAAAGGAATTAACCTGATTTGATTTCCAGTCTCTCCCAGCAAACACGCAGGTCTGTCCTTACCTGAGTTCTGTGAGTGCAGTGGCACAGCTGGCACCTCACCTGCCCATGGCACAGGGAGGAATGGACAGAGGAAACCACATCCAAAATAAAATCAATTAATAGGAATGTTTTCACAAGAAATGCAGAGATAGGAAAAGGGGGAATGTGGAAAGAGGAGGGCAGGGTTAGATGGGATTTTGGGCAGGAATTGTTCCCTGGCAGGGTGGGGATGGAATTCCCAGATTTGCTGTGGCTGCCCCTGGATCCCTGGCAGTGCCCAAGGCCAGGTTGGACATTGGGGTTGGAGCACCTGGGACAGTGGGAGGTGTCCCTGCCATGGCAGGGGTGGCACTGGTTGATCTTTAAAGTCCCTTCCCACACAAACCCCTCAATGGTTCTGTAATTTCTCAAATAATTGACAGTGACTACGAGGTTGGGCACATCTCTACCCAGGCTACAACCACCCAGTTCCCTGAAGGATGTGTTCTCTTGCAAATATGCTTAATATGTCAATAGGAAAAAAATACATGCTGTAAATTTTGCTGTAATAATTATTGGAAATGCTTGAGCCTTGCTGGAATTTGGCAATAGCTCCACTAAATATAGGACTCCAGGCACACTTAATTTAACAGGAGATTTATCAGTGGTCTTACTGACCCAAAATTCCTCTTATTTAACATTTATAAGCTTTTTTACCACACAAATTTCTCTGTACCACAACAGATAAAATTTATACCGGGTTAGCTTCACCAATATTTGTCAAAACATTTTCCAACAACTTCTGGAATAGAGCAGCCAGGAGATAACTAAAGCACCTGAAGTAGGGCATATGAAACACCATAACTTTTTACAGTTTTGCCCTAAAGAAAATGAAGCCAATCTCTGCTAATATCCCTTTCATTTACACTCTTTGCTATGAGATTTCCCTAAAGGCATTAGTGGCTGGCAAACAACTCCCAGCACCTTGATTACAGGAAATCATATTTCTCCCAATCCCAAGCTTCTTCATAAGTACTGAAAATGCTTTGCCTACTAAAATACATTTTCCTAACTTACCAGTAATTCTACACCTCGAGCCACCCAATTTCCTTCCTCTCCCAGCACAGGAACCACTTGTATTCCTGCTCAATATATCCTCACTCCTACTTCACTCTTTGTTTTTTTTTTTCAGTAGAGATGACTCTGTGCTTCCACATCAAAAGTGGTATCAAATACGTTTGGAGAATATCTTGGGGGAAGAGGGAGAGGAACAAGATTTATTAGTGAGGATAACAAAATATTTCAAAGATGATGGCAAGTTAAAATGTACAGATTTTTACCTGAATTCCCTTGAATTTAAAGAATTATGGAGGCTCTGACCCAGACTGAAGGGTGAGCCCCAGAAAATGACACATCTTCAGAACAACCCTTGGACCTCTTTTCTTACATATAGATCACAACCCAAGCCACCAAAATTTAACTCCTTGCCCTCATACACCCATCAAGCTTCAGTTCCCAGAGATTCCCAGTGTCCCAGGTGCTTCCCAGCATTTCACATCAATTCAAACACAGAGAGCAGCTCCCAGTATGCTGCAAACAAAAGTTTTGTATAGGAGATTACTTCTGTTATTAAAATCCTGTTAAGAAACCAGACTCAGAGTGTTTTCACACACACACACACACTCTCCTTCAGGGCCAATTAAAGCACAAAATATGCCCAGCTCTGCATGGACAGGAATATTTCCAGATTTAAATTTGCAGGACACATCCCTGCTGTTGAGAAAACACGAACGTCTTGGCAAACGAAACCACAGTTTCTGGTTTCATTCAGCCTGCTTTCATTTTTTTTTTTTTTATTATTATTATTTTTTCCTGGTGATTTTAACTGTGAAAGGCAAGCCTTATTTAGTGGTTGAAGTGAACTCCCACCAGGTGCCATTGCTGGGGCTCTGTGCAGCTGAAGAGAGGCCGGAGGAGCAGAGGAAATGCTCCAGGCCAGGCTCTGACTCAGTAAGGCACATACACACAAAGGCAGAAATATTTTATGTCTCTGCTCCAATCTGACAGTTTTCTCTGGGGGGAAATTAAGGATCTACAAGTGAGGTCCAAATCACAGAAAGTGATCTTCAATCCTGCATCTTCCCCAGGCTCCATCTGTTTGTCTCTCTGCCTGGTGAGAGGGTCCTTCCAGCTCCATGCCCAAGTCTCTCCTCCAGAGCAGATGTTACAGAAAGGAGACACTTCCAGAGGTTAGTCCTTAACAAGGAATTTAATCCAGGCTCAAACAGTTGTGAATTGACATCTCAAAGCATTTAATAAAACCCTTCCTTTTCGGTTTTTCCATCCAACCCCATCACAATCTTTGACTGCAAAGTTCATGTGTTGGTTTAAGCCTTGGTTTACTTGGATGCAAATTCACGAGCTGGTGCTGGAAGACAACAGCAGACAGATGTTCCAGTCCTGGGAAATACCATCCTGTCCCTGAAAATGCCACATTCAATGAGCAATTAATAACAAATAAAGTAAAGAACTGAAAGGAAATGCAATGCCTTGTAAGCAACAGACTTAAGTAAAATAAAAACGGAGAGAAAATGCCTGGAATGAAAAACAAAGATATTGGACATGACTTGAAAAATGTTTTAGAAATGTTGTACCTTCTTACAGGACTATGTTATGGAAATTGATTCACAAGCTTTAGTACTAGTGAACTAGACTGGATGTGTCATCACTGAGTGCTGGAATTCTTCCAGGGAGAAAATTAGACACATCTAACAAAGCATTATCACTAAAGGAGTGGAAATTCAAAAGTTCAGTGGTTGAAATGATACTTGAAGTGACAAAGATCCAAATTTGGCTGGCAGAAGGGTCAGAGATTTGAATAAGATTTTCATAATTTTGAGGGCAGAGTGAACACTGGTCAGAAGCACCTTTTCCACCTCATTTATAAACAGGAATACGTGACACTTCATCAATTTCCAATGCAGCAAAGTTTGAAATAGCACAGAGAAACTTTCCTTTATAGTGCAAACACACAACTTGTGGAGACACTGCCAAAGCCCAAGATGGTAGGATTTAAGAAAGTCTGGGTATTTTACATCCCCTATTCAAGCCTGTTATAATGCAAACTAAAATCATATTAAAGATAATCAATTTTCATGCTCCAGGCAATAAGGAGATCACCTTGGGAGAGGAGGCAGAGAAGATTAATATGTATTTTGGGGAGGTTTCCACTTATAATAAAGTTTCAGGAACTGGCTACTTTTCTGACAAGGATATCAGGACAGAGAAAATATTCCAGCCAGTTTAGAATAACTATTTCTAAGCTATCCCATCCAGTAAAGAGCTCGATTTTTTTTTTATTTAGAGAGAGGATCAACCTCCCATAAGCCACGGCCTTTGTATGGACATGCACTGACAGCACTTTTTAATTGATCATTAATCCAAGCTTCATTAGAACTAGGGAAAAGCTTCATTTTCTCATCAGTAAATGTCAGTTGCTCCAGTAAGACTATTTTCAATTGTATTGAGGAACCTTCTGCATTTTCTACCATATTTTGTATTTATTTTGCATTTCTTTCAGAATCAGATTTAACACACAAGCCCTACCTCAATGCTGTTAGTTCTGTATTTATTTATTTATAAATTTTCCCTACAAAGAAAACACGATTCTCTGAACTCTGCAATGACTTTTTAAATATTGTTCTGATCCTTCCCACATGGATTCTTCATCTTGTAATAGTTTCTGAATCATATAGAGAAACTCATAAAATTTTTGCTGACGTAACTCAGATTGAGACTCTGAAAGATTCTTCAGCTTGAAAATTAGTGGTTACTTGCTGCAAACTTTACTGGCATTTCGTATCCTGTTCTTCAGAGTTTTATTACTTCAAATAAACCTCACTGCAAGTTCACTTTCCTCTGGCATTTCACTCACTTTTATCTCCTCCACGTCTCCTTCTAGGAATTTTATTTATCAAATGCTTCTCCTTCTACACTCAGCTCCTAATGCCCTGTTCCCACCTTATCCATAACTTTGCAAACACCGAATTCCAGATTGGTTTGAGTGGGAAGGGATCCCAAATCCCACCCAGTGCCACCCCTGCCATGGCAGGGACACCTCCCACTGTCCCAATGTCCAACCTGGCCTTGGGCACTGCCAGGGATCCAGGGGCAGCCACAGCAAATCTGGGCACCCTGTGCCAGGTTCTCAGCATCTTCACAGGGAATCATTTTTTCTGCACTTTCCCATCCAGTTTAAAGCCGCTCTCTGTGTCCTGTCCCTCCATCCCTTATCTCAAGTCCAGCTCTGATGGAGAATCTTTAGGCACTGCAAGGGGCTCTGAGCTGTCCCTGGAGCCTTCTCCCCTCCAGCTGCGCACCCCCAGCCGTGTCACAATCATCCATCGCTGCTTTTTTGGGCTGATTTTTACACAACTCCGCGTTTTTCCCACGCGTGCGGCCGGGCCCGCAGCCCCAACCGGTGCTGACGCTCCGGCTCGGCCGCGGCCACACGAGCGGGGAGCGGGGCCAGGCCCTGCCCGGAGCCCTTCAGGAGCCACCTGGAACTCCCCAGGCTCTGCCTGGAACTCTCCGGGTTCTGCCTGGAACTCTCCGGCTCTGCCTCTTCCCCTCCCCGCCCGGCTGCGGCTTCCGGGCGGCCCCAGCCCCGCCCCGGCAGCGCGGCCTGTGCGGAGCGGCCGCGGCCATCCCCGGCTTGAGGGCAGGTGTGCGACTGCCGGGGACATCCAGGGACTGCCGGGGACAGCCAGAGACCGCCAGGACTGACAGGGAGAGGCAGGGAGGGTGGGCAGGCGGGTGGGATGAGAGCCGGGCAGCGGGGGATGCTCAGCCCCGCTCCCCGAGCCCGCGCAGCCGGGGCAGCGCAAACCCGCCGGGTTTGGGGCTGCGGGGCACAAAAACATCCTGGTTTTCCTTGGAATAGTGATGGGAGGGGATGGATGGATGGATGGATGGATGGATGGATGGATGGATGGATGGATGGATGGATGGCAGCAGGCTGGGGTCGCAGCAGGTTTCCGTGAATCTGCAGTAAAATAATTGCTCTGGGAAGGGCCGGTTCTCTCCCTGGAGCATTCCCGGGCGCATCCCGGGGATGCTGCAGTGGAGGGGTGGGTGAGCGGCATTGCTGCTGGATGGGCTCCGAGCAGATAAACTGCACCAGAAATATCGCCCAAAAAGCTTTGCCCACAGTGGTTTTAAGGTTTCCCTCGCTGGGAATATTCCAGAAGTGTCTGAGTGCCGTGCTGTGCCATGTGCTCGGGGATGGCGCTGCTGGGACAGCGTGATCCGCTGTGGTCCCTCCCACCTTGACCCATTCTCTAATGCACAGCAAATTAATATTAAGGTAGAAATGTCCTTTCAGCACTGATGTAAAAGCCAAGCTCTTCAGGTGTTTTGAAATAATTGCCATAATGTAACTGCATGCAGCTTTTAAGGCATGGTAAATGTAAAGAACTGTTTAATTTATTTGCCCCTCCCAAATAAACATTATATTTGGTGATGTGTATCTTATTTTTGTGGAGTGGGGCTATTATTGAATGATGAGATGCAGTATCTGCAGTGTTCCACTTGGAAAAATCTCTGTTTTATATACCAAGACATTACACAGATGCTGTGACAGTCATTTCTCAGCTGCATTTTGTGTCCAGGCTTGTGCTCACCCCAAGGGTCATCATCTGGAGGGGTGTGTTGGAATGACAGAGTTCCCTTGTAAACCTGCTGAAGGTTTTGGCCTCCAAGCACTGCCTGTCTCCCTGATGCACTGGGGACTAAAGTTGGGGATGTGGGCTTATTCTTTCTGGGGCAAAACCCACCCCTTCAATGCAGGAAATGTCTAAAAACATCATTTTCTTGTGAATGTTGTCAGCCTGTGACATAATCTTTTCATAGTAAAAGTTTTCTTTGCCTCGTTTTCTAACAGAAAGGTTCCAGATACAGACAGTTCTACCAAAAACTTCAAATTTCAGCAGGAAGAAAATGTGGCCGTGTGAGCTGAGGTGGTTTTAGCAATTCCTATTTGCATTCTGGCCCATGACAAGTTCATTGCACCAATTACTCCAGCAAGTGAACAGAAGCTCTACAGGAAACTGTTGTAGTTAGAGAGCAGCTCGTGTTACCGTGGCTGCTTTACCTCTTGATAACTCTGTAATTAACTTGTCACCTCTGTTTAATGCTTCACCTATGTAGAGGATGAGTTCATGGCATCACTGAGGGGATCAGGGCCTGGAGGAGAAGCTGCTGCCCTTTGGGAGGGTTCCTGGGGTTGCCCTGAATGGCTGAGTTAAAGGCTTGTGCAGGAAAAGCAGGAAGTTTGTTTTGGGAAGTGTGGCTAAGGTGGAAAGGGTGCACCTGAACAGCTCTGGTTAAACTTGCTGGTGACAGGGGAAACACCTAAAAGAAGCAGTAATGCCAAAAATCCAAAGGAGAGCATGTCAAAGACATGGATGGCTGCTTTTGTAGTGTTTTTTTTCCTATGCAATAAGAATTTTGGAGGACTGGGAACAGCTGGTGCTTGTGAATTAACCCTCAGGGTGCTGGCTGGTGTGGCAGTGTGTGATTTCCTTATTCTCCACCTCTGGGGGCATCCTCACCTCTGGGGGCTGCAGGGTGGTTTCAGCAGGGTGGTTATTCAGGTGTTGGTGCTGGAAGAGTTTCATAGGAACAAATGGGAGGTCCAGGTCTGTTGGGGTGTCAAAACTGAGCAGCAGCCTCCAGACCAGTCAGATATTCTGCCTGGGATACAACTGACCTAAATTACACTTAATTCCTGAAGGAAAAAGCCTTTCTGCCTGTGAGTTGTTATTTCATAGTTCACAGAACAATATCAGAGAATGGTTTGGGAGGGAAGTGACCTTAAAAGTCCACCCAGTGCCACCCCTGCCATGGCAGGGACACCTCCCACTGTCCCAGGAGCTCCAACCCCAATGTCCAACCTGGCCTTGGGCACTGCCAGGGATCCAGGGGCAGCCACAGCAAATCTGGACACCCTGTGCCAGCCCTGCCCACCCTGCCAGGGAACAATTCCTTCCCAGCTTGATCATGGGGCAGGAGTTCAGCCTTTTGAGCAGGAGCTCAGTTCCCACATCAAATTCACAACGTGTGAAACTTGTAAATCCCCTCTGCAGGCATTAATATTGCCTCTAACCCTGCAGAGATTTCCTGCCTCAGGATGCTCCCTGCTTGTAGAGCTGGCACTGCCCGTTCCCACAAGTTGTCAGGGAGGCTGGATACACATCCCAGACGTGGCATAACTCGGAGGAGCCAGCACTTGTTAACTCTATTTGTTTTTATTATGGACATCGATCTGCCAGTCGCAATAATGCATTTATGGACATTTTTCTGCAAGCACAGCGCTGGTGGCAGTTTTTACTGACAACTTGAGTCATCTGGACAGGAGTTGAAAATACGTTTATTTTATTGACGGATTGTGCAATTCTCTCGTTTACCCAGTGTTCATAAGATGTCTGGACTGGTGAGGAGAATGTAACTGATGGGAAAATGGAGGAGAAAGTTTTAATTTCGGGAGGTTTGGAATCTTGTAGGTAGTGGCGGGTTCTAGCATGTGTTTGGGGTGGGTTTGGGAGCTTTGAGTTCATTAATGCTGTAATTAAAATGGGAAAGGCTCAGTGTCCTTACAGCAGAATTCCAGACCTGAATTCCCTCCCTCTGCTGTTAGTTGGGAATGTTACTGACTGGTAGTTGTGTTAATTTATCTGAAGGTATAATGGGTAAAATCCTCCTAAATGAGAGGAAAAAACCCTTGTTGAATTTAGTATTTCTGACATATCACCCAGCACAGGTGTGCTGGGGCCAGCACGAAGTTTAACACACAACTGGAGGAACAACCAAACTACAAAACCAAACCTGTGCTGAAATATTTTTCATAAATGCAAAATGCAGTTTTAAAACTGAGCTGCTTATGGTCCAGGCAACTGCTTAAAATCTACTGAATGCCAATAAAGCTTGTGTGGGTTTGGATTTTAATGAAATTGGTTAATTGTAAAAGTTATTTAGAATGTGTCACTTGATGCTTTTTGTTAATCCTTTTTTGTGTTGTTTCCTTATTTGCTATTTTATATTTGCAGAGCTAAATTGCCATGTCCTGGTGGCTGTCAGAAGTATCAATTTATACTGGACAAAATTAAATGGTAAAGATAATTTCAGGTATCTTTTCAAGTCACCTGTAAAACTTGGACATGCAGCTGAAATTCTCCCTGATGCAGCAGAGATTCTGAAGATTATTAAAAATACCTGAACAAGTCACTTTTAATTGCAAAGGAGACGAGGGGAGTTCATTAAAACAAAGGTTCTGACTTCTTCTCTGCTTTTTGAGTGAAATAGGAGTTAAATATTAAAATAGCAGCATTGACCAATGGCCTGGAGTCTCGAGCAGCTTGGCAGCAGGGAATAAATAATCATTTGAGTTTTGATCTGATGGATGCATTTTAACTTTTCATTTTTATACAAATGCCCCCTTTTTAGTGCAGATTCATGCAATCAGGATTTTATAGATATACATTAGCAGAGCCCACAGGAGTCAGAGCTGTTTTGTTGTGTGAATCCTGCCCTCTCTGTGCTCCACGTGCAGATTTAGGTCCCTCCAGGTAACCCTGCATTAGCAGATAGCAAGAATTAGTGCTGCTGCTGCATAATCATCATCAGGAATACTGAAATTATCTGAGTGCTTTAGATCCATCAGCACAAGGCAAACAATGCTCTTATCTTGGCTTGTTTGTACATTCAAGTGTGCAGAAGGTCTGTTAATTAGTTACACTTTTTAATAAACACCTAAAGTATACTTAAGGCCCTGTTAAAAGATGAATTTTTCTGTTTCACATCACAAAGCCAGCAGATAGATGAGTGTTCAGCATGTGGCACTACATGGGCAGCACGAGCCTGCCTTGGCAGCCTGGGTTGCTGCTGGGGACAGGACACTTCTGCTGTCACCCCTGTCCTGGAAAAACAATTCCCACAACTCCAAATTCCCTGCACTGTGCTCTGCTGGGTGTGAGCATGAGCAGAGGTGTAGTGGGAAGGGTGTGGGAAAAGGGAAATCTCTTTCACAGTCCCCTGCTGACACCAGAAATGCCCCTGGTTCTTGGCTGACTTGATGAAATACGGAGATTTCGAGTTGATGGAGTTTATTCAAGCTGGCCACAGTTGTTGGTTTGGGGTTTCTTGGTTTGGTTTGGTTTATTTTTTCCTGAAATATGAAGGAATAATTGGTTTTGAATCCAGCTCAGTGGGCCTGGATCATAATTCCCTTCTAACTTGGAGGTTTAGGCAGTGGGATGGAAGTAAAATCTGGGTCTATGGCCAGGGTTGTGCTTTAGGAAGGTGAAATTGAGGTCCAACACGGCAAAGTGCTTCAGCTGAAACAAACTTTTAAAATAAATCACAGAATCCCAGAATGGTTTGGATAGGAAGGGACCTTAAAGAACATCTGTTCCCACACCTTCCACTAAACCAGGCTGTGCCAAGCCCTGGCCAGCCTGGCCTTGGGCACTGCCAGGGATCCAGGGGCAGCCACAGCTGCTCTGGGCACCCTGTGCCAGCCCTGCCCACCCTCCCAGGAAAGTAAAAAATGCTTGTTTTATTATGTTTTCAAAACATACCAGTAATACTACTTTCACTGATTGCATGAGTTTAATGTACTTTATTTTATATTATTGTTAATGCACCTGGCTCTGGATTTAAATGCTTTTCAGTTGCCTTTTTGTGCCATTGTATTTGATTCCACAGCGAGACTTTCTAAGAATATGATTAACCCTCTGGGTCATCTTATAATGTAATTATTAATGATTGATTCTGTTTATCCTTGGGATCAATATGAGAAGCAAAAATGCTTTGGCATATATTTGGGGTTGATTTCTTATGTTCAGTAAACATGATCTGGTGACAAGGCTGGTATTGGTTTATTACTCGGAACGTGTTTGATGAATCTGAAGTGTGTAATTAGTTTTATATAATGATGGTGATATGTGGGGTTTTTTACATGACTTATGTTAATATGGCCAATAGTGTTAACATCTCCTGCCACTAATAGTTAGGGTGGGGATGTATAGTAATTGATCTTCCTGGGAGTGCTGTAATGTAAAAACAATTCCGGCTGTTTGAAGTATATTTTACAAGTGTGCATTGGGCCTTTGGGATGTTATACTGAAAAACCCAATTGTACAGTTACCATGGGAACCCAATTAGAATAGATTGCTGGTTTGGTTTTTTTTTTGGGGTGTTTTTTTCCAAGCTTTCATCTTGACCAAAAATCTAATGTACTTTAAATGTTTTCATATGGAATTTTGTTCGTATAGTCACTTGGTGTAATGGCTGGGTTTTAGTTTTAGTGCTGAACCAGAGTGTTCTGTTGGGGGTCCAGAGGACTTATCCTTCAAGGAGAATCTTCCTTTAGTGTTTAAAAGTTGATGAAGTGAGAAAAAATACTTCTTATTAATCCAAGTTCTTACTGCCATCACATGTACTCATCAGGCTGCAGTCCTGGTGGGAAAAAAGCAGGGAAGTATCTCCAAGCCCAAGGACTTCTGTTCTAGATCAGCAGCAGAACATGGCTGAAGAATTTCCTTCAAGGATCTATTTTTGATGTCACCTCTGACTTTTCTTCCCCTTTTTGGCCTGTTGACATAGGCAGAGGTTTGGGATGCTCACAGGGTGGCTCTGTGATGTGTTTGCTTCCTGCACCGTTCAGCACCTGCAGGGGTTTGTGTCCCTTCCAGGTGTCCTGGGAGCATCCTGCTCCCTCAGCACAGCTCCTGGCTGGCAGCAGAGCTTGTGGGGAACTTGGGGACATTTGCTGGAATGGCCAAGGCAAGCTGAGGCAGGAGAGGTGGAGCTGGGTGTCACTGGTCCTTGCTGGCAGCTCTGAGCTAGTGAGGGTTGTCACCAAATTACTCTGTTTAATTTTCCATACTACTCCTTAATCCCTTCAGTTTATCCCACTCTGCAAATGCAGGAGGGAGTTTTCCATTCTGGTGAAGCCATTGCTGGCATGAAGGTTTCAGCTTTTTGAGGTTTGGTTCTGGTGTCTCAGTCTCCACACCATGGCAGTGGTGGCACTGGATTTGATCAATGTGTGTTGTTCTTCCAAAGAGGTTTTGGCTTCTTGCCCTCAAAGTCATCCTTAGGAGAGTCCTTGTGCTGACCATCCCCAGGACAGCCTTTGCTAGGCTGAGGTGCATTTTGGAGGGATGGTTTGGACTTTCCAAAGCCAGGGTTTTGTGTGGTTTCCCCCTGTCTGGCTGTCAGAAGTGTTCTAACCACCATGGCTGGTTTGACCCCAGTTCTGGTCACCCAAGGAAAGCCTTGCTGGGTGGGCAGATGGAGCTCAACCAGGGTTTGAAATGAGCTTCTGGATAAATCTGGTTATTGAGGCAAAACTTTCAGCTTTACCCTTCAGAAAGATCTGATAAAACATGAGCCTTGCTGCGTGCTTTGAAAGACTCAGCTCTGAAGTGACGATGGAAATAAATTGCTATTTTATTTTTAGCTCTATCACAGATATTTTAAGTAGTTCTATTAGATTGTTCATCTGCCTGACCTGCATTTCAAAATGCAGTGAGTTCTCTTTGCAGTGCCTGCCTTGTTACTATAGTTAAAATACCAATTTGAAACACTTAAGTAAGATGCAATATTAAGATTGAATGTTGCTGTTTGATTTTAAGTGGCTGGGAAGTGGCCATGTGTTCTGTCAGTGCCTTGGACTTCAAGGAGAGGTCTTGGAAAGCCTGGGATGTTCATATAATTTCATTTTTCAGAGATTTACCATTCCTAAAGTGGATACAGTTCCCTGATTTGAGTGGAGCAGTTCCCATCGAGGCTGGCTGTGAGTCAGGATTGTGAAGCTGAGCTTTGGCACATAATCTTGATTTTAAAAAATGCAGTGTTTATATCACATCTTTCAAAGACAGAGCAATTTGGGCTGAATGGCACTAAAAAAAAACATAGAGGGGGGAGCTAAATGCCAAAGAAATAGGAAATATCCTTTATTTCCAAGGGGAGAGCAAAAAGGAACCAGTTGTGTTCTTTAATTATATAAATAATGTTAAAGGCTAGAATTATAATAATTGAAGTGAAAATGTTTTAGGTACTCAGTGGTGTGAAATCTGTGCTTTTAAACCCAGAATATATGACAATCACTTGCTTTAAAATCACTTTCATGCCTTAAAATGTGGCATTTCCTAAATCACAAAAGGCTCTTCATTTTACTCAGTCACTTAGAAGTACATGACAGCCTGCAAAAATTTATTCAATTAATACTTTTATCTTTTGAGGCATTCTTATTTCAGATATTAGAGTTGTGCAGTGCTTGTTGTGGAAGAGCTCTTCAACGTGCCATCTGTTGATTTTTTTTTTTTTTGTTTGACTCATGACAAGTGGGTGACTTAACATTAAAATTCCATGTTGTTTGTGAAAAAACAAACTCTCTTTGGAAATTCTGTGTACTGAAACTTGGAGAGCTCGTTTAAAAACTGGTTATAGGAGAAGACTCTGGATATTCAGCTCTCCCTGTAGAATTCACATTTAACAATCTAACTGGGAATTTTTATTTTTTTTTTTTTTTCCAGGTGAAGCCTTTTCTTCCACAATGGCATCGAGGCTCGTTCCAAAAGTAAGTTTCCAGTGAAATACCTTTGCATGGAGGTGTCCACTGGAAGTCCAGCATTACAAAAGAGTTCACGTAACATAGTTTGTTTTTTCCCCAGTGCCCAGCAGTCAGGATTAGGAATCCAGTTGACAAGATTGATGCTGCATTGTAAATCTCTGTAGCTCTGTCATGGTTGGTAACAGGCATCAGTGGACCTTTCCCCAGCACGTATCCATCTGCCACAGAGCATAAATAACAGGACAGAGCTGCTGCTCTCTCAGTTTGGTTGCTGTTTCCTTTCCTTAGTAATCAGCACCTCCCTGATAAACAGGCTTAATTTTGTGGCTTGATGCTTCAGTGGTGGAAGTGTAGGTCAGTGACATGGTAGCAAAATGAGGAAATGTGGATGTTTATCCAAATAATTCAGATAATTTGCTCTGCTGAGAGAAGGGCATCAATGCATTGTTAGCCTATAGCTGTCTCCCTGAAATAGTTGAAATGAACTTTGAAGACACAAATACCCTTTTTGTGTGTGGAATGCCTATTTTTTGTAACATCAGTGATGCTCCCCTAGGAAAACATTTCTGGTACAATCACACCTGCATTCCTAACTGTTCCTGTTGGCAACTTCTGTCACTGCTCTAAATGTCTGAATAGTGGCATCTCTCGTGGTTTTAATCTGCTTTACATAATGTCATGTGGCTTAGGAAATGAGTATTTTGCTGGTTTTTGTTGTTTGCCTCTTTTCTACAAAAGCAAATCGGTTTTGTTTCTTAAAACGGAATGGTTGAGGAAGAAATCCAGGTAAATAAATTCTTGCCTCACCTATTTCTTTTGAACCATCATCTCTTTAGTTACATTTATGCATCTTCCAGTTGCAAACACCTTTTAGCAGAGAAATACTTGGTAGGGAGAATCCCTGGTTCCCTCTCATTGCAGGCTAGGTGTGATATAGCTGGCAAGTGACACGAAACTAATAATTTATTATCTAACCTTTTCATTTCCCCCACTCTCACGTGGAGTTGAAAGGTGCAGCTTGAGCTGTTAGGGGAGTTTGGATATGTGGGAAGACAGAAGGTTTGAGGTAGAACACTCCAACTCTGCTGTGGGGACTGTGCAGACACTTGCCTGTGCTCTGGATGCATATTAAATATTTATGTGTTGATGTAATTGGTGATTTTCAGGCTGTTTTCAGTGTGTGATCAGTTTGCACAGCCCCACGTTGGGGTGACACCCAGCGTGTGCCTGGCTGTGGATTTGCAGGAATCAATTATCACCCTTGCAATGTGCTGAACAGTTTTTAAGGAGGTTGCTGAAAAATGGTTTGGGAAAGCAGGCAGACGTGGGAATATTCCATAATCACTGTCTGTGCCTCCCACCACATCCCTGATGTTGTTGCAGTGGCCAGAGATGAGTTTTGGGTTTGGGTTTGGCTGGAAGGTGCCTGGGCTCTGGGTGACCAAACCTCAGCACATCTCCATATTTAGGAATTTGGGGGGGGGGGGGGTTGGTGTTTTTATGACAATGTGGCAGGTTTTGTGTTTCATTAAAAAACTCTAAATGTTCTTCTGCTCCTCATTGGATTTCTTGCAGTTCAATATGAAGGTAGTAAATGGATTCTTGTACTAACCCTGCTGCTTTTCTCTGTTAACAGTGAAACCCTTACCCTGACTTGAACAGGGTTGGATAACTACAGGAAAACCCAGATGTGTGTGTGTGTCAACAATATACTCTTGTATTTTTATACCAACACCTCTTGTGTGTGTATTTATTTCCCTGTATTTTGTGGTTTTAGTGAATTCCTAACACCCATTTTGCTGCTCTGCTCACTTCAAAAATTTCTGTGAAATTCTTTCCTCACACACAACTCAGATTCCTGACTCTCCTTCAGCTTAAGGAGCACTATTAATGGTTTTGTTCATATTGCTTAGATTTATTTTGTTATTATTCTCCAGCTCCTACTCTTCAGGTAGAGCTATTTTAGTATTATAAAGAATGATGGATTATATAGGAAAGTTTCTTTTGAAGCACTCCTGATATTGTGCAATGCACTTGGGGGTCAGCTACACTTGACTGATGCATGATTTATCCCATGTCCCTGCCACTTCCTGAGATAAAGCTGCTATTTTATCAAAAATGCCAGCAAGTGTGATTTAGAATTTATACCCCTCCTTTTTCAAATAATTGTTCTGATTACTTTCTGGCACGGCAATAAAATGATAAAGGTAATTGCACACAAATGTGAGATAGCACCAAAATACAATAAAATTAACCTGAATTAGCTTGACTTGTCGATGAGAAGTATTTATGAAATGTATTTTTGCAATAAGGGAGACTGATATTATAGCTGGAAGGTGAGTTATTGCCTTAATGTAATACTGTTTGAAATTTAAAAAAGAGACTGTTACAGTTGAGGGTGATTGTGCCTTTGAAATTAAGTTGAAGTGATTCTTATAATTGGCAGCAATAATGCATTGGGAAGGTAATATCTTTTATTGTGTTATGCCTAGTTGCATTATCTTTTATTTAGCTGGTCCTGACTCCAGCTCTGCAGAGAAGACAAGCAGGAGCAGATTAGGAATTTTGTGGATTTAGGTGATAAAAACTTGAAATGTTACCCAATATTAAAGTCATTCTTCTGCTGAGTTTCTTTTTCATTTTTAGCCCATTTTCAGTTCCCCTGAACCTGATACAAGGCTCATTTGATTAAAGTTTCATCTGTTTTCCTTGTATTGGAGCAGTTGCCATGTATTTACATCCAGGCTGAGCCTGTAGGAGCTGAGCCCTCCAGACTCACTGTGTGTGCATTTCTATCAGATTTGGGCAGTGAATTTTGTATTTCCCTGTGCCTCAAAGTACAACCTCTAAGGGTAAAGTGTGAACACACTCTTACAGCAAACACCTCGATGGTTTTTAAGGAGTAGATCCTTAAATCCCAGAATCGGTGAGGTTGGAAAAGCCCTCCCAGCCCATGGAGTCCAAGCTGTGCCTGATCCCCACCTTGTGACACAGAGCTCTGGGTGCCACCTCCAGGAATTGCTGGGACACCTCCAGGGATGGGGATCCAACCCTCCCTGGGCACTTCCATTCCCTGCCCACCCTTTCCATGGGGAAATTCCTGCTGCTGTCCCCCCTGAGCTCCCCTGGCCCACCCTGAGGCTGTTCCCTCTCCTCCTGTTCCTGTTCCCAGATCCCAAATCCCCCCGGCTGTCCCCTCCTGTCAGGGAGTTGTGCAGAGCCACAAGGGCCCCCCTGAGCCTCCTTTTCTCCAGGCTCAGCCCCTTCCCAGCTCCCTCAGGAATTCTCCATCCCCTTCCCAGCTCTGTTCCTTTCCATGGTCACCCTCCAGCCCCTCCATGTCCTTAGGGGCCAGAACTGGGCACAGCACAGAAGGAATTATAGTTATACATTGATAACTAGATATGGAGTTGATACCTTGAATTTAATCCTTGAAGTGATGAACACATGTGGAAAATTTAGATTGTTGCACCATGACTCTTCCTTTGCATGGGATTTTATGGAGTTGTGGAATATCCTGAGCTGAAAGGGACTTGCTGAAACTCAACCCAGTAACAACAAAATAGTTTTTTTGGGGGACCCTCTAATTGTTAAGAGACAAGATTCTTCATTGTTGATTTTTTAGTGTATTTATTTCTTTAATTGTTTGGAAGCAAATTCATTAATTATTAAAAAAAAATATCTATTACAAGTATAAAAAAAAATCAGTGGTTTATTCCCTCTGACAATATTAAAATATTGACCAACTCAACAAAATATAACATTGCTCTGTAGTGCTTCTGACTGAATCTTCTGCCATGGGATTTCCAGCTTCAAAAATAAGGAGCTGGGGGATTTAATCCCTTTGGTGGGTCCTTGGTAGGATAAGAGGGACAATGTGCTTCCCCTCCCCTTGGAAGTTACACCAGGACATGTGACTTTTGACTTTTGAGCTGATTCCTGCTGGGATTTGCAGGTACCCACAAACTTGATGCCATAATCTGATTATTCCAGGAATATCTGGCACTGTCCTGTCCACTTTCCCTCCTCTTGGTGCTCCATTCCTTATCCAGTGTAATTCTAATTAATTATAATATCTCTTGGCATCTCCCAGTTTGAAGAGATGCCCTGAATAACTCCATGTCCCCACCACAATGGGTAATTTTTAAAACTAATTAACACCACACTTGTTAATGTCATTCTACTTCTGTGCTGTGTGTGTGTAGAAACTGAGAATTGTTTGGGTTGGAAAACACCTCAGAGATCATGAAGTGTTAATCTTGGTTTTGTGCTATTGATATCACATGATACCAATATCCTAATTGATGTATATATGGTTTATTTTGCTATCTATGGTTTAAGTGCCACGTGGCTGCTCTGCTTTCATCCCATTTAAATTTCCTGTGTAAGTAATAGCTGGGGGAAAGATGCAGGATGTGTTTACTTGTTTTTAGAGGAAATAATCCATCAGAATTCCTGTTTAAACAGCCACTGGGGTCTGCTGTTCAAGTACCTGCTGACACCAGCTCCAATCCAAGCTTTGGAGCATTAGATAGAGTTGAAAACTGCACTTGTTGAGCCTGGAATGCAGGAGCAGTGACCCACCTGCCCCTTGCAGAGGAGTTAAAATGACTTTATTACAACGAAAATGCCCTTCCAGTAAAATAAAGCAGTCAGGGCCAGCCCTGGGTGCTGGGAATTTGTCATTGCTGCCGTCTGCCAAAGCAGGCGACTGAAGGAGCAGCCAAAGAGCCAGAGGCGACCAGAGCTTGGAAAGACACTTCCCTAGCTTGGCATTTCGGGGGCTTCTGGTTGCCATCCAAAGAGGATTAGTAGGATAATGCTATGGGACAACAGGAACTTGCTTTTGTTGTCTCTGATTGTTTAATAAAGAATTACGTGTTTGCTCTCGTCGAAGACTTTTTGAAATGCCGTAGAAAGCAAATGTTGCTCCGTGTGAACACGTCTCCCCCCCTGGTTTTTCGGGGGGTTTGTGTGAAGTGGGTCTTTGGATAAGGGAAGAGGGG